TTAGCCTTGGGTTATTGTTGACTTCTCTATAAGCATTGGTTGCTTATGGAAGTTATACCTTTAGTCGTTCCACTACATTAGCACGGCGTGATTGGACTGTTCCCATATGCGTCTAGCAAGATGCAGTACGAGTGAAGTATCGAAAGGGAACGTACTCGGTTACTAATGTAACCTCGGTTCCCTGAAATACGGGAACGAGTACTGCGTTGCTGGCCATGCTATGTAGCTGCACGACTCAGTCGTCGCTTCAGTCGAAGTAAACCTGAGAATACTGTGGCGAGCGCCCGCTTATATAGCCAGATGCTCCGCCCATTCTGGCGGGCTTTGGCGGGCTGCCACGCCATTGGTTCGTTTTTAAAGCCCTGCACGAACCAATGGCCGTGCAGTTTCACTGCGTGAATGAAATAGGCTTCAGTTCAGGAGAAAAAGGCTTTTTGCGTCTAGCAGACGCAGTACTCGTTCCCGTATCGCAGGGAACCGAGGTTACGTTAGTAACCGAGTACGTTATTTGACTTTGTTTAGCTGCATATGGCAACACTGAGATTATATTTCAGGCTGCCATGATGGCTGAGGAGCTGAAGAAGGAGCAGGACACCAGTGCTCACCTGAAGAGGATGAAGAAAAACATGGAGGTGACTGTCAAAGACCTGCAGCACCGTCTGGATGAGGCTAAGAGTCTGGCCATGAAGGGTGGAAAGAAACAGCTCCAGAAACTGGAGTCCAGGGTAAATTACAGGCTAAATACAGTCTTAGATGAACTAACCATGGCAAAGATATGACAGGTGTCAATAACTCTCTACCGAAGGTGTATGAGTTGGAGAGCTTGTTTTTTTTCTTTCCGGTGTTTGGATGGTTGTGGATTAGAGCTTGCAGAAGAGGTGTGTCTTTAAATGTATCACATGACCCCTCCCCCTCTCACACTTATCTCAATAACAGCCTGAATTATTTGAGGCATGAAGTCAGCAAAGTTTGGCAACAACACTTAAAGATCCCCAATGCAATTGTTGCAAAGGTATTGGCTGAACCATATCCCTACTAGCAGAAACCCACTGTCCAGTTTTGGTGAGTCAGTGTCCTCTGTCAGTCTCCTGCTCTGAGCTGATGGGACTGAACCTGCTGTGCTCTCCTGCTGCTGTAGCCCACACCCATCAAGGTTCACTGAGTGAACTACACTGCACTAACAAATAAAATAATTTACTGCCACTTTCCAATCATCCCTTCACCTTGGATCAGTCACTAACAAGACATTTTCAACCACTGCAACAGAACGAATGCTGACTGGATGTTTGGACACTGTTATCTGAAATCCCTCCAGACCAGTGTTAATTTCGTTGCCGAATAATGTTTGTCATAATTTTCATCAACAACATTTTTTTCACCGATGACAATGAGACGATAACGAACTAAATCTCTTTTTGAATGACAAAAACTATGACGTAAATCTATTGACATTTTCCTCAACGAATAAAAATGAGACGAAAATGTTAGGGAGGGACGATTTGGGAAGAGATTCATTCAGAACGAATCTGCTGCGTGGTTCGGAGCTATGAACAGGCGGGACGTAAGCTAACATACACTTGCTGCACGTCGCATAAAACATTCAAAAATGTCAATATGTGGGAGTAAGAGAAGAGCAGACATATGGATAAATCTGACGATGCAAGAGAGAACTCAATTCGGTCTGGTTTTCTGAGCGCAGAAACTGAAGCATACACACACAGAAAGTGCGTCTCACAGTGTGCGAGTACCCTTTCACGTCGCATGAACGGAGAATTACACACAAAATGATGTCAAATTGTCCGTTTTGACGAGTATTCACGTAAACACAGTTGATTACGTCTTAAGTGAATGTAAACAGCAGGGAGAACGTGTCTCAATACATTGCATCCATTGCAGCTGTGCATTCGGTTTTAAAGGGACAGCAGCCTAATTTAGTTGCTATTGTCCGA